ATGTGTACTGGAACCTTACTGATGTGTACTGGAACCTTACTGATGTGTACTGGAACCTTACTAAGCTGAACTGAAGCCTTTCACTTAAAGCCCTCCAATGGCTTCTCAGAAGAGAGAAATATCCAATGTTTTCCTGTCAGCAGAGGACCATAAGTGTGGCCTCTCACCTCTTTAACACCTACAGCCTCACATCCTACAGCTCCCTCAGACCCTTCACTACATGTACTATTCCACCCAGACATCTGCACTCACCTGGTCTGCTAAATTTCTTTTCATCAGACATACCCACAGAATTAAGTTGCTCCTTCTAACCTACTCTGGAACAGATAACTTGTCCCTCTGTCTGTCTGTCTGTCTGTCTGGTCTGTTTTGTTGCATTGGTTTGGTTTTCATCTGCTTGCATGCTTTTGAAACAGGATTTAATACATCTTTTAGGCTGGTCTCGAACTAGATCCTCCTGCCTCTGCATCCCAGTGACATGGTTGCAGACATGTGCCTGCAGCCTGGCCTACTGAGTCCCACAGGCTCACAGATGGTCTGGGTTGACTGTACCACTGCCCCATCATGCTGGATTTAGAAGGTGGCATCAGAACTTGCTGAGCTCCTGGGACTTAACTGAGTTGATGCTGTGAGGAGCTAAGCATTCTGGGGTACTTGACAGAGTTCATGTTTTATATGCCGGAAGTACGTCTACCTTGGGGACCAGGGGGGTGGACAGATATTATTATTGCGCTACATGAGTCCATGCAAATATAACTTTCTGGAAGAAGAACCACAACCATGCAGACCAGACAGGAACACAACAGGAGTTGCTAGGGTATAAGACAAAAGATGAGACACTGCAGAGGAATGCAAGAGCACTGGAGAGGTAGTGGATATTCCCTCACTTGATTGTGCTGATGTTATATAGTTACATGGATCTGTCAAAATTTAAAACCATACCCCAAAGGTACATTTTATAACATGCAGATTAATTACATCAATATGCCTTACTTTTAAAAAGTTAGTTGATCCAATATTTTCACAATTCTAATACCAAGAAAACTGTGGACAAAGATTCATAAGAACTCAAATCTGAGGAGGAAGAGCACTTACTGCTCTTGCAGAGGACCTGGGTTCAGTTCCCTGCTCACAATCACTTACAACTTTAGTTCCAGGGGAGCCTGCTTCCCAGGGCACCTACATGTAAATGGTATACACTCAGGCAGATACACATGCACACATATTTTAAACCTAGGGATATACAAACTGTGACAAATTTGCACAGGGGATTGATAGACTATGATCAAATATTTCAAAACAAACTGTATTGACTGAAAATACTTCTGCTATCTGAAAGGAGGGGCCTAGGAACTACATAAGCAGCATCACAACTATGCAGAACACAAACACTGTTCAGTGCTACACTAGGATAAAACCCAGCATCACATCCCTGCATTGCACTCCTAGCTCTAGCTTTGACTCCTAGCTCTAGCTTAAGCTGCTCCTTCTCCAAGGTTCATCTCCTGCTAGTCTCTCCTTCACTTTATTCAGGCCATCTTGTGTTTCCACACAAATGTTACCTGATCAGAGCACCCCACCCTCTAAGTACAAAACAGCTCTCACCTCCCACTCCTGTCACCATGCTATACCTCAGCTTTATTCAGGATAGTGTTTAGCATGACTCAACATACCGTTTACTTATTTAGCCTGCTTTTCCTACTCCAACAAGGAGTTCAGTAAGAATAAGGGTCTGTTCACTGCTCAATGTCCAACAGTTGGAAAAGTCCCTGGCATAGAGTAGAACCAACCCAGTGTTGGTACAACCATGATTTTGCCCACGTTCATCAACCTGGAAGCTGAAACACATCCTGCATACAAGTGACAGCTATGGCTTCAAGCTTACAGTCTGTCTCCACTGATATTGTCTCCAGAACCCATTACAGGCCTAGAACAAGCAGGATCTCATGAGAGAACAGTCAAGTTGAGTAACTATATAGACACATAAAGGATGCCTCTCCTGGGTATCTTTAACCACAGAGAGGACCCCTGCCACCCTCACAGCACGCACTCTACCACCAGTCACACAAAGGGCTATACCAACAATCTGTACATGTGACACTCAAAAGATAAGCTGGGCCAGTCCAGAATTGGAATTAAAACTATCTAGGTCACTACTGATGATGTGTACAATCACAATCATCAGAGAATGAGCTTACAGCTATGAACAGAGAAAGCCTCTTCCTAAGTAAGACCTAAGTGTGGTCCCTGAGACACAGATCATGAAGCTACCCGGTATCCTGACCTCTCCTAGCCCCTGGAAGTGTCCTTTCCCCAAGGTTTCTGCTTATGTCTTCTAAACATTCAGGAATTCAGTGAAAGAAAAGAAAACTGACACTCTCCAGCAAAATCTGGAATAACAGGCTCACACAGGATCATGGAAAAAATAATTTAGCAGTATACGCATGTACAATACAGACTAGGAAGAAAGAAAGGGGAAAAAAAAAAAGAATCAGAACTCTAGGCATGAGTTAGGGACCAAAACAGACAGCCTACAGAAACGGAATCAGGCAATTGAAAGTGGAAAAGAAATGCAAGATATTAAGTTTAACAAAATACAATTCCCAATGTTTGAATTTTGGGGCAGAACAAAATATCCAGAGATATCCTAGATGAAAAGAATAATAAACAACCATGTGACTGGGAAAGAAAAACAATGTTAGTGTTGTCATGAACACCAGAGAAAGAGCACCTATGCGTGCTAATGAGATGGAGAGGGGAAGACAGGAGAGGTGGGAGTTTATGGGAAAGTCTAGGAAGGAAGGCAGCAGGCATTTAGTTACATGTGCCTGTCCCTTCTCATCAGCCACCCTGGTATTGACTGAGGCTGTGGGGTGCCCTTAAAGAGCTGCATTAGAGAATGATGTGGTGGCCTGGGAGGCAGAAGCAGGCTGATCTCTGTCAGTTCCAAGCAGACCAGGGCTACATATTCAGACCTATGGAAGGATGAATGTAAAGAAGAAAGGAAGGAAAGAAGGAAGGAAGGAAGGAAGGAAGGAAGGGAGGGAGGGAGGGAGGGAGGGAGGGAGGGGAGAGGGAAGGGGAAGATGGAGGGAGGGGGAAGATGAAGGGAGGGGGAAGATGAAGGGAGGGAGAGAAGGAAGGAAGGAGGGAATACAGAAAAGGAAACGAAAAATAGAAAAGAAAAGAAGAAATTATGGAAATGAGACACCAAAGAGAAGTCTGGAAACCATTCTTAGAGTGTTTAAAAGGATTCTCAAATTGGTGTGCAATTATTTGTCACCTTACCCAAAGAGTCCCATTTTGGCAGGCCTGTGGTGGAGCTCAGAAAAAAAAAATTTAACAAAGACCCCAAAATCAGTCTGATCAAGTATACTGTCCTTTTAAAGCTTGAGAACAAAGAACACACCTTGCCACAGCATTTTCAATCTTGGCTCTGAACCAGACACCCAACCGCCCTTTAAAAATAAAGTATGGATCTTTTCCTTTTAATGTAGCCATCTTGGCTTGTTTTTTCGTGGTGTCAAAAACAAGAGCGGGGATTAACCTATCACCTTCAAGAGGTCGTTCCTCAGCCACACCCCACACCAAGAAATGGGAATCTCTGAAAAGCAAAACCGCTGCATTTTTAGCAAGCACCTCTAGGGTGCAGAGAGCTCCTCCACAGTTATTAATGAGAAAATGGTCTAAAATGGTTTAAACCTTTCTATACGTGAAGACAACCTAGAAAAAAAATACAAATTCCCACAAAGCAAACATGGACGCGTTCTAATCAGGGGCTTGCCGGGATTTTGCAAGGCATTTAAAAGCCTGCACAGGACAATGGGGCAGTGGGTTCTGCAAAGAAAACAACTTCTCCCTGGAAAGCAAAGCAACCGAGAAGGTAAGACTCAGGGACTAAGTGATGGGTGTGACAGCAATGAAAGCGGCCTGGGCCCTGAGTCCCCGCCAGTGCCTACCGGAGAACGCCGCACCGGAGCGCCCGCGTTTCGCGCTCGGGCTGCACCGACCTCGCCCTCTCGGCGGGGACGCCCCGCACCCAGCCTCGATCCCGGCCCCCTCGCCCCTCCCCGGTGCCACCTACAGACTCGTTCCCCCCCCCCCCCCCCACGTCTCAGACCCTCCGTCGCCCTCCCTCACCCGACCTCTCCGCCTCCGCACTGACCGTGTCACGGCCTGGCCGAGGACGGCGCCCTCGGCTCTGCAGAACCCGCTCGTAGCGCCGCAAACCTTGCCAGAGGATACAACGTTAAGACCGCGCAGCTATTAGCACAGTGCCCGTACCACGCCCGGCGGCCATTTTCCCGAGACTCAGGAACTGACAGGTCACGTGGTCGTGTGGTGGGCGGTGCTTCGTGTAGCCACGCCTCCCTGGAGGGCAGTGTGGGAAGAGTGGCCGGTGCTTTAGTGGCTTGGATGGCCTTCTCAATATTTTAAAGGAGTGGAGACATTGCTTCTTTGTTTGGTTTGACTTCAGATGTTTTGTTTTGTTTTGTTGAGTTGTGTTGTGTTTTGCTTTGTTTTGCTTTGAGCCTCAAACTTGCTATGTAGCCAAGGATGACCTCATGCTCCGCATCCTCCTGCCTCCACCTCCCAGCTGACCCAGCTAAATGAGTGTATTTTTCACAGGTGCCCCAGGTAATATTTTTCCCTGTCATTCACTCTTATGAGTTAACTTATAACCCATTCCTGGTATTATAAGCAATTATTCAGAAAAAATAAACCACAATTACAACTTTGGAAGTCATTGCCCACTGAAAGAAGCTTAGTTCCTCTTTCTAGAGTTTAGGAGCCCAAAATCTGCCTTCTCCATCATCGGAAGAGTGCACTGCCTCGGCAGACCTCTACTGCCTCCTTCCAGCTGAGGACCTACCATCTCCCCCAGGGCCTCCTCCCGACTGTGCTCTTCCTACATCTACAGAAGGTGTCTCTGGAAGGTCACCAAATGCTATTAACCAATCCCTGAGCACCTATGCTGGATACCATCAGCAACCCCATCCTAGCAATGTTCCCTTCTTCGGGCCTCAGGACACCAATTTCCTACTCTTCTTCCAGGCATGGTATTCCTTCCCAGGTTCCACCTACCTTAATTACTTCAGAGTTCCAGAGTTCTGCCCACAGTCAATCTCATTCCCAATATGGCTGATATTTCAGGCTCTATCCATCACAGGAAGTGAGTGGGACCCCACGGGAAGTGGGACGTTTTCTCACATATCACCCCATACTGTCTAACCAACCCATCACCTGATTGTGTTTATCACTCAGATCTGTTTAAAAGCTTTGGAACCACCTCTCCCCACCCAGAACCCACCCCTCTTTACCCCTCAGGACGCTAAGCATTTCTCAGTTAAACTCTTCAGTAGCCCTCCTCCTTGGAGCCCATTCCCCACACCTGTAAGTAAGGCAGTTGGAAGGCTTGCCCTCACAGACCTGACTCTGTTCTGTCTTCCTTCCCCTCTAACCCTGCCAGGCCACCCCCAAGGCTAGCCAGTATTTAAAGGGTGACCAGTATTTAAAGGCTGGCCAGTATTTTTTGCTAATAGACACACTGGGCTTTGTGGCACACACCTTTGCTCTCAGCACTCAGAGCAGAGGCAAGGGGAAACTCTGTGAATTAGAGGCTGCCCTGGTCTCATAGTGAAACCCTGTCTCAAAAGGAGGAGGAAGAAGAGGAAGAAGAAGAGGAAGGAGAGAGAGGGAGAGGGGAATGAGACTGTTATCAGTGAGTGGGTGAGAGATGGATGAAAAGATCTCACTGAAGAGAAATAACGGGAAATGTGGTTCCTGTGCCTTTAGGGACTACCCCCAGGAGCTCACATTTGAGTGAAACGGTGACTGGAGGTTCCTGACCCTAGCCTTCCAGCCTTTCACATCCAAGCTTCCCAGGCCCTCCTCTAAGTACCTGTAGATTAATGGGACAGCCTCCACAAGCCAGGAAGCTGGCTTTAGACAGCTCATGCTTTCCTCCACTGAGCTCTCTGTCTCCGGTGGGTGGAGGGGGGGAACCAGAATGAGGGGCAAGCACAATCCACTGTCTGTCTTTGGGGACCCTGGAAACACAGCACTAATGAGGTAGGCAGAAGAGCAAAGTGCTGAGTCCCCAACTTAGGGGCATCCAGGCCCTGCAGAGTCACACTGGGGATTCTCCATGAAGAACTTGGCAAGGCAGATCTCAGTCTCAGACACAAGCCCTGCTCCAGGGACCTACCTTTCCTCCCCTCGTTGAAACAGAATTCTTGCAGACAGTCAGTGAGCACATCATCCTTCCCTTGGGCTGTTCTGGAAAGCACTCTGGTTAGGAACTGGAGGTTAAAGTACCAGGATGAAGGAGTACACATAGAGGGACCCATGGCTCCAGCTGCATATGTAGCAGTGGATGGCCTTGTTGGGCATCAAGGTGAGGAGAGGCCCTTGGTCCTCTGAAGACTCGATGCCTCAGTGTAGGGGAAGTCGAGGGCAGGGAGGCAAGAGTGGGTGGGGGGGGTGGGGAACACTCTCATAGAAGCAGGGGAGGGAGGATGGGATAAGGGGATTCAGAGGGGGAGACTGGGAAAAGAGATAACATTTGAAATGTAAATAAAGAAAATATTCAATAAAAAAAATTGAGATGGATAGGAAAAAAAAAAGAGGTACCAGGATGCAGGATGGGCTTGATGAGGGGAGGCAAGGGAGGCTAGGGACACATTCCAACAATCCTAAAGCCAGCCCCTGCCCTGCCCTGGGCCAGGCAGGTCTGAACGGGAGTTGGGGTAAAACTCTCAGACCTTTTTCTTTTTTTAATTATAGGGCTCAGACATGTCTGCAATAAAATGAATTTTTTAATGATTTAAGAATGACTAGATAACGTTGTATAAAAGTGAATTTTAAAAGCACTCAAAATGTTGTGGGGTTGGGAGAGATGAGGAGGCAGTATTTGCAGGGCAGTCCTGGGTGAAACAGGGTTAATCTACAAGCTTCTATCCATCACCCCCTGCCTCTGTGAAAGGTTACTCTGACTCAGGGAAAAGTTCCATCTTGATAACAAGTATTTGCCAGCCCCTGGTTCCTTCCACGCTATGGACCCTCATACCCATCTTGCAACCGAACTACTGTAGAACTAATGTTTCCTCCTCAGTTTTGTCTCGAAGACATGCCTCTTCCCCTGTTCTTTGGTCCTTCTCTGGTTCGTGTAGCCTGCCTAGATCTTTCCAAGAAACACACCCTATGGGTTTTGCTCTGGAATCACTCAACAACTCAAGACTCTGAATCATCGGCTTTGAGAGTCTGGCTTACCTTCTTGTCATGTGTTTTTACGTAGAAGGAAAAATAGGCATTACCTTTCCACGCCTCGCCATGCTCGTCATCAAAGCTGTAATTTAATCGCCCTTGGGTCTTTTTCCCATTACATCAGCACTCTGGCCCGATGATTTCTGCAGTCTCATCTGTCTCTGTGGCTTCAGTTTCATTGTCTAGCGTATTTTCCAACATGTTTTATATACACTATGTTGCTCTGAAATGGTTCTTGGCTGGTATGATAGATCATACTCATAATTCCATTGCTTAGAGGAGACTGAGGCAGGAGGATTGCTATCAATTTAAAAGGCCAGCCTCAGCTACAGTGTTACTCTTCTGTGATTATAAAGTAAATGCATACAGCTGGAGAGATGGCTCCGAGCACTTGCTCTTGCAGAGAATCAGAGTTTGGATCCCAGCACCCACATAGGTGGGTAATGGCTGCCTATAAATTCAACTCAGGGTATCTGATTTCCTCTCTCTTGTGGTACCTACACCACCCGCTTCCCCCACCCCAGACAAGTTAGAAAATTAAGTGTTTTTAAAAAGTAAAATAAGATGAATATGTATTAGTTACAAAGAATTTGGCAAACTCATAGAAAAATAGAAGCTTCTCTTCTATTGCCACTTGGGATTCTCTGGCTTCTTACTCAGAGAGATGAAGCATAAACTTTATTGACCAACTCATATACTGAACAATGTTGAAAAGAAGAGTGGTACTGGAGATGAGAGCAGTTAACATTAACTATCAACAGGATCTAGAGTCACCCAGGAGACAATCCCTGAGCATGTCTATGAGGAAGTTTCTGGATTGAGTTGAGCTGGGGAGCCCTGCCCTAGGCATGGGTTGCATCGTTCTTGGGCTGGATTCCCATGCCAAGTGACCTGAACACCAGCATCTCTCACACCTTGCTTCCTGGCTGCTGATGGACATGGCCCGGCTGCTTCAAGCCCCAGCTTCCCTGCTGCCATGAACTCTACCCTCCAACAGGAAGCTGAAGTAAACCCTTCCTTCTTTCCCTGTTGCCACTGTCAGAGACTTTGTCACAGCAGGAAGAAAAGATACTAATACAGAGATGCTCTGGGGGTGTTTGCCTTAATGAGTGATAAATGCTACTGTTTAAGTTACTTTTGTGTCACTGTGATAAGACATCTGACACAACCCACTTAAGACAGGGAGGATTTATTTAGACTCATAACTTTTATGGGATTAGCAGTCTGTGGAGACTCACCTCATAGTTTAGGTAGAACATCATGATACTATGAACATGTGGTGAAGGGAGAGAAAGGAATACAGGAAAAGACCAGGGTAAAAAAAAAAAATATAATATATATATATTTTTTTTTTTTATATATATATATATATATATAGAGAGAGAGAGAGAGAGAGAGAGACACACCCTGGGTGACTGTCTTAGACAGGGTTTGTATTCCTGCAGAAAACATCATGACCAAGAAGCAAGTTGGGGAGGAAAGGGTTTATTCAGCTTACACTTTCATGTTGTCTTGCTTCCTATGGCTTGCTCAGTTTGTTTTCTTATAGACCCCAGGACTACCAGCCTAGGGATGGCACCACCCACAAGGGACTCTCCCCACTTGATCACAAATTGAAAAAATGCCTTACAGCTGGATCTCATGGAGGCATTTCTTCAGCAGAGGCTCCTTTCTCTGTGATAACTCCAGCTTGTGTCGAGTTGACACACAAAACTAGCTAGTACAATGACCCACTCACTTCCTCCAAGCATGCCCCACCCCCTACCTTCCTCCCCTCCTCTGCACCCTGGATTCCAATAATACCTACTTATAGGAGGCGTGTGGGACCCCAAACAGCCGCAACACTGAGAAGTCTCAACCCAGCACAAATGATGATTTCCCCATAGCTGCAGAGATAGAGTCCCTGGCTCCGTTAACCTTCCTCACTCGGCACACTCCGTCACCTCCCAAGACTACATGCATCTGGGGCAGAGCAAAATTCTCCTGGCAAGAAGGTGCCGGAGGGAATGGCTAAGATCTCAGGTGACCGTCTGA